AAGAAAAGATGGGAGAGTATCACACTCACAGTGAGTCATAAGTAATTACTTAATATTTTAGATCTTTGAAGAAACCAGCCTGTGTGTGAGTGTGTCTCATTTTCTTTCGCTTTGTATATATATGTGTGTGTGGGAGTGAGTGTTTTCCGCTTGCGCGCTACTGAGCTCTCCCCATTGCCCTATCATGGTGAATTCCAAAGCTGTGGCCGTGATGAATTAGTCTGAAACAAATTAGCAGTACTTACAGCTCAGACGGCTCCAGCATTGGGTTACAAATTAAAACAAAAGCAGCCATATCTCCACATCAGCGCTAGTTCCCCATGAAATCCAATACGCTCTGCCTCAATCTTCAACGTAGAACAGACTGAGAGGCTTCCTTCCTTCTGTCCCCCCTTCTCACTGTCTTCCCACAGACAATCCAAGTCCATCTTCTTCAGGTATTCTAAGACTGAACCCCGGCTGTATAGTACGATCTGTCAGATCTTACTGTGTTATATGGATCTACACCAGTGACATTTGGGTTTTGGCCCCATCTGAAGCAGGATGTCCGTGGGGTCTTAAAAAGCCTGAAGTCCAGTAATCTGAATGTTAGGCCTTAAAAAGTATTAATTATGATTTTGACAAATTATTTGAAAATGATTGGATTCATTAAAAGTAAATTCTCTTCTCTCTCATCTTTCAGTCTTTCTTTTAAATGTGTTCCCAGGAAAACATTTTATTGATCATGCTGTAACAAATACAAAACAAAACCAGCATGGAACCAATGCAGATTTTTCTTCATAACGTTAATACTTTTTGCCAGTATGCACGTAAAATAGTTTTAAAATTGCATTATTATGACTTTATAAAGTCTTAAATTCAACATGTTGAAACCCTGTAAAAGACTAAACAGATTTTTATGAAATTTAGTGGGACGTTTGAGGACAATACCATGCCAGGCTGTCATAAATAAATGTAAAAAGTAAATAAGAGATTGTTCTTAATGTCTTGCCTGGTAAAATTAAATCTACATAAAACAAAACAAAAAAACCCCAGTGTTTTTGCATGTTGTAGCCCACTTGTTCCTAACCTTTTTGGCTTGGGACCCTTTTATATCCAAGAAATGTGTAACCGCAACACCTCATCACACATTTTCCATGAGCTGTGAGCAGTGTTAGAGTTTTGAAATTGTTTTATTTGTTTGTAGAGTCCTGAAGAGGTCAAACAAAAGCTTTTAAAAGACTCAAGAAAGGACAGAAAAAATACCCAATTTTGTGGCGCAGTAATGTTTTTCCTTCTTTTTTTTTTCTTAGTTTGATGCCATATGGAATCACTCTGTGATCCCATTTATGACAAATCACATATACTTTAGAATGTAAGGTATTTGTGATTGGTAACCATAGATGTACAAAAGCACACCAAAAGAACACTGAACACAAAATTACATTACAAAGCAAGAACGGAAAAAGAAATTATTTAAGACGTGCTGGATTATTTACACAATATTATCATATGTGTATTGAATACCAATATTTCACTTTTCAATATCACAGTTATAGGCAATACCATTGTATCCAGACCCCCTAGGTAACCATTTTTTAAAAACAATGCTTGTAGGTAGTTTGGTTTCCACCATTCTTGGCAGCCATTAGTTTCCATTCAATTCATTATAAAAACATCAATAATGATAATACAACTTTAACAAAAAAACTGCATGACTCCACGAATAGATTTTCATTATGTACAGAAGTGAATGGGAAACCAATGGCTCTCTCCAAAAATCTAAACCAGTACTGTATGTTCTAATGAGGTACTGCAGTCAGACAACACAGCACATACTTCCATTTCTGCACCTGCATCAAATGCAGATACAGATGAAACATTTCCAAACACTTTGTATTAATAAAATGAATATAGAAGGTTGTGTGTCTTCTCTGTGTGCATTGTCATGAAGGGCATTTAGGGAAGAATTGACTGGGAGGGGAACCAGGTTTTTGGCAGTATATTACAGATGGAAAGAATAGAGGTCAGATACATGTGCAATGAGAATACTCATCAGTGTGGGTAATCGTTTTTTTTGGCCAAATGCATGAAATGTGCCAGTTTGTGTGAAACACACTTCCTGGTCTGGGCTCTGGCTGGCTTTCCACTACATCATACTGTCCACTACCTAGTTTACCTCGCAGAAAGCCAGCAATAGATTGCATTATCACACACTTGGAGGTTCATTTCCACACTAATCAGCCTGTCTTTAAAAGCAGCATTAATAACACAAAGGAAAAATAATCACTGTCACTGGGAATTAGGAGTGATGACAAAGTACTGATTTAGCTAGGCTCCCATTGCTGATTTTTGTTTATTTATTGTTTCACATATTAGCTTAGTTGAAGCCAGAGCCAGAACTTAAAAAATGTACAATTAAGACAATATCAGGAATAAATGACACTTTGGGGCAAGAAAATGCTTTGGATTTAAAACATAAAAAGTCATAATATACAGCACCAGGGGAGCCTTGGTATTAAGAGTGCAAAAGAAAAAAAAAAACCTTAAAACACACAAACAGCATGCATCATCATGTCAATATTGACCTTTATTGACAACAACTGCTCCGTCAGTCTGGTGTGAGAGCTCCAGCCCCAGTGCCGAGGGAATGCTGCCTCCTGGTGGACAATTACCTACACTGCACCAAAAACTGACAACATACAATACAGTGCTGCCCTCACAGTGGGCACACATACCATATCATTTTTAGGCGATAGAGGGAAGAAGCTCTTCCTTTTTCACCCTTATCTCGACAAACCTACAGTACATGATGTACCACTTTGATAGATGTTGTCCTCTTTACAGTCGTCGCCGTTAAAAGCTGGTAAAAATTTACTTTTCTTACCAGTTTTTATCTGTAGGGCAGGCAGGTGGAACCTTAACCCCAGCAGTGTTGGCATTTGCAGTGCATCTGTTAAAAATAATGAACGTCGGGCTTGTATACTGACAGAATGTGAATCCAGCATGAGTTTACGTGCAGTATGTCCCCCTGCAGAACCCAGACATCACACCAGTTCACTGAGAAACTGAGAAACTGTGCTAATTAAGAGATTATTGGACGACTTGATGTCTAATGGTGTTTGCGGACCGTGATAAGACATTTAAAGTTGACATTTAACGCAATTTTGTGGTAAAGACCATTTGCTATGGGGCAACAGTGGCAGAGTGTGTGCTACTGGAAATAAGTGTGTGTGTGTGTGTGTGTGTGTGTGTGTGTGTGTGTGTGTGTGTGTGTGTGTGTGTGTGTGTGTGTGTGTGTGTGTGTCATGGAGACATGGGATAAGCCAGTGTCCTGGGAGTGATTGTCAGAGGGAATGCTCCTGGAGCCTCATATGAACAAAGACAAGATTGTACTCAGGATACACAGGTGTGTGTGTGTGTGTGTGTGTGTGTGTGTGTGTGTGTGTGTGTGTGTGTGTGGTGTGTTTTATGTGTTCTTTCTCCCTCCCTCCCCGTCTCTCTTTCTTTTTTTCTCTCTCTTTTTCTCTCAGTCTCTCTCTCTCTCTCTCTCTCTCTCTCTCTCTCTCTCTCTCTACCTCCACACACACAGACACTGGATGTTGTCTCCCCACTCTTTGTCCATTGTATCCACTGTGGATCTTATTATGGCAGCCTGTCTGAATAGCAGCCTGTCGACTTCATCAGATCTTCTTTCTCTCCCTTTCCTTCTCTCACTCTCTCCTGGGGTCTCTCTTCCTCTTTTATTCCTCCTCTCCTCTTTTCTTCTCTCTCCTTCCTTTATTTTCTATGCAGCTTTGTTCAGCCCGTGCTCCCCTAATTTCCTCATTTCCTTCTCGGGCTGTAATCATCCGCTGCGCACTGGTCTTCTTTTTATAAACGGGTGTTTACCGCTGGCCACACACTGGACAGTACCGTGTGACTGTGTGTTCCCGATTGACAGCAATTAATGCTTGGGTTTTTTGTGATTATCTCATGGTCTACATACTATAAAGCAACCCAGTTAAAGAACCGAATAAACACTTGAACGTGACAATGGCATGTTTTTTAAGCACGTCTCTTATTTGATTTGATTTGTTTCCTTTTGAAACACTGTATGTAGAGCTTTCACAAACTGCTAGTATGAAGTTGCATGAACATGTATGTATCATCAAGGTAGAAAAAAGGTCTTTAATTGCATTCATAATGGTCTTAAAGGGTCTTAAACTTAACCTGTTGAAATCTGCAGAAACCTTGTATTTCATATCAATAAATAGTGCAAATGTTGAGTTTGTTGAAAAAACAAAACTAAATCAAACTTGTTATTCTTCAATTGAGCCGTAGACCTTTAAAGCTGCAGTAGGCAACTTTTATAAAAAATTACTTTGTGTTTTTTAGTTATCTTTCACTATATCCTGACAGAAGTACATGAGACAGCTCCTCCTAATGCTCCTAATGGCATGTACAAGAAGTTGTTTTCGTGCAGGCCTGGTGCATTCTTGTAAATACCATTAGGAGCACTAAAGGCCCGGACACACCAACCCGATTATCGGCCGTCAGATGTTGTCAGACAGTCGGGCAAGGTCGGTGACTCGAGTCGGTTCGGTGTGTCCCGTGCCGTCGTCAGTCGGCGTCGGCGTCCATTTTGGCCGATTCGACATGTAGAATCGGCCAGTGGCCGTCCGCCTCAATGACCAATCTGATTGGTGGAGTGCTAGCCCTTGACTAGCGAATCAGTGAGTGCACGAGAAAACCGGAAGTGACGATGGTAAACATACTACACCAACGCCAGTATCTTGTTATTATTAGCCACCGTATTTTCTGTTCAGCGAGTAATGACAATAACAATCCTTCTTGACTACTATCAACACTCTCTGATGAAAACAATGACTGACGACAGCATGCTCTGTGTTTTAGGTCTGGAGTGATCTGTCATTTACGGTTTTCATTTTTTTTGGGCAACAACACAAATTAGTGGACAGACCAATGAAAAGTTTCGGTTCATTCCTCATCTCTCTCATTGTGTGTGTGTTTGTGTGCAGAACTCCAGGTTGACTCTGGTGTGTGAAGATCCAGACTGTTGGATTAGTCTGCTCCCTCTGACCTCTGACGCCTCAGCTGCCAACTGCACCATCTACGGCCAAGGTGAGTTTTTCTATGTGACAACATGAAATTAATAATAAATAAATTACACAAAATAAATAAAACAAAGTTTAAAAAAAAGTTTTGTTAACAAAGACAACAACTTACAATGAAAGGTCAGTAGAAGAATAAAATAAATAAAAATGAATAAATAAATGAGGAATACATTCACAAACATCAGAGCTCAGCACACATTCCTCACAGTGGGTTAGTCATTTTGGCATAACTTCACACTTCTAGTGCCTCTTCAATGTCACTTTTCCCAAACACCTCCCAAATGTTGTGAATTTCTCAAGATCCAAACTTGATGTTTTTTAACCTGTAGCCAAGAGAGGGGCAACTAACATTCTTCCAGCACATAGCAATCAAGCAAAGACATAGGTCAACCATTTTTCTTTCAGGATTTAGAGGAATTGGAGAGATGGTAATTTGGGAAATATTTTGAGGTGACAATTTTATTTTTTACCTGTTCTGTTTCCTAGTCGTGACATGAGCCTGTCTGTTTTCAGGTGAGGAATTGTTCTGTAAGGTGACCAGAGAGCTTGTGTCTGGTGAAAGGCTCTTGGCTTCCCTGTTGCCTCCTCCGGACTCCTCCTCCTCCTCCCCGTCGGCCCAGCTCTCTCCTCCGCTCAGCCTCGTCACTCAGAAACAACCTGTGGTAAAGGAGGAGCCGCTGTACCCTGCGGCGCTGCACTCAGACATCCAGCTCCTCCCACAGCAAGCTGGCATGGCCGCCATCTTGGCTACAGCCGTTGTCAATAGTGAGTGTTGTATTTAAGACATTAAAATATATATGTTTTTATTTATTGACAGTATAGCTGCTCTGTTGTTTTTTTTACAATAGAGTATATGTTAAATACAGTGTATAAGTAGGTTCTAATCTGGTTAAGCAAGTTATTGATTAGAATCAGATAGATTGGAATTGAAATAATCTATATCGACAACATGGTATCAAAGGTACAAGAAACACCATAAGTATAGTAGAAATGCATAAAATATCATCTCTTAAGAATATTATTCAAAATGTAAAAATAAAATATGAGCTATATGTCCTATGAGGTATTACATCCAATACAGTATGCCCTTCTAATCTTTTATGCTTTACATTTTTGTCTTGCTATTCTCAGCACAGCGATATGCCTGCAGGCCTTTATAATCTACTGTGATTTATCATTTGTCTCAAAGTTATAATGTTCTCTTTGGCCACAAGATGACACTGCAGCTCTTTAACAACATTTTGTTCAGCGGCACAGTATTTTCCCTCCTGCCACTGCTATTCCTTAAAGTTTTCTATTGACCATGTGCTCTGCTGATGTCTGTGACCAAAGCCCAAACACACACCTACACTTGCTGAGACCACTGGTAATCATCTGAGATGATTACACATTCCTAGATCTGGTAACACTGATGCAAATAATTAGAGGTTGTCAAAAATAATAAGACGTATGATAATTATTGTTCTCATAACCTGTGTCCTGTTGCCGTGGATACTCATAGCATTGGGTATGGTGGTGTGTGTGTGTGTGTGTGTGTGTGTGTGTGTGTGTGTGTGTGTTTGATCAATCTATTAGAGCCATAGATTGACTCTAGAAAAATGTTTTCTATGTGTCTGTTTAGTCAACTAACTCTAAATGTATGTTCTGCTGGCTATCAGAGGACATTTTCCCTTGCAAGGACTGTGGGATCTGGTATCGCAGTGAGAGGAACCTGCAGGCACACCTTATGTACTACTGCGCCAGCCGTCAGAAGCAGCCGGCTGCAGCCTCATCCCCCCCACAAGACAAACCCAAGGAGTCCTACCCCAATGAACGCATCTGCCCCTTTCCACAGTGCAACAAGAGCTGCCCCAGTGCCAGCTCACTGGAGATCCACATGCGCACACACAGTGGTGAGAACGACATTTATGTCAAACAGACAAATGGTCAAAACATTGAGGCCTAACTTACTGCATACTTGACCAGTGTGTCTTCATCTACAGTTTCGGTAGGTTATCTGGTAGATGAGCTCACTTTTTGTCCTTCTAACTTATGTCCCTCTCTGTCCTTCTACAGGTGAGCGTCCATTTGTCTGCCTCATCTGTCTGTCAGCCTTCACCACTAAAGCAAACTGTGAGCGCCACCTGAAGGTCCACACCGACACACTGAACGGGGTGTGTCATGGCTGTGGCTTTGTCTCCACCACTAGGGACATCCTCTACAGCCATCTGGTCACCAGCCACATGGTTTGCCAGCCTGGATCTCGCAGTGAAGTCTACTCCCCAGGGCCAGGCCTTCCCAAGCTGCCTCTGTCCACTGGTAAGTCATACCATCGTTGTGACAACTGATTTTCAATATCGGGCTTTAGGATTCAACTCGAGATTTTACAACTTTAATCTGGACCAGACACATTGGTCTGAATCTTGCCCTTCTAAATCCAGCTAAAGCTACTGTTACAGTTCACTAATCTTGACTCTCTTCATCAGGTCTCAGTCCAGGAGATTCTGGTGTGGTGCTGAAGTGTCAAGTGTGTGGCCACAACTCTGACTCCCCTGCCCAGCTTCAGCAGCATGTACGAACCCACCTAGAGGTCAGGGTCCCAGCCGAAAGGAGCCCCACCCCTCGCCAAAGTACCCCATCATCAGTTGACCACCCCCAGGTCCAGCTGTCCCCCGATGAGAGGGAACCGCTAGCTTGTGTCCCCAAGCCAGACTCATCCAGCCCGGGCGCAAACGGTGGCTCAGCAACGCCTCGAGACTATAGTCCTCCTAATGCCCCAGCCATTGACCTAAAAATAAAAGAGGAGCCTCATTCAGATACTGAAACAGAAGAGCAACAAATGGAGATTAAGGAGGATGGAGAGGAGGAGGAGGTTGGTGGAGAGGAGGGTGATCAAGAAGCAAGAAAAAAGGCGATGGAAGAGCAGGTTGCCACCTCCTGTCAGACATCAAACTCTCCAAAGAGTCCAGCTACCACAACTGTAAAGGCAGAACCAACTAGTCCCACCCCTGGTTCTAGCCCTGCCCATGTGGGTGGTACAGGGTCAGTTCTCCCAGGAGGAGCAATGTTCTTGCCTCAGTACATGTTTAACCCAGAGGCAGCCATTTTGCCTCAGGCTTCGGAGATACTGGCTAAAATGTCAGAGATGGTCCACAGCCGTCTGAAACAGGGCCAGACAGTTCCTCAGAACAACCCAGCGGCCTTCTTCCCATCTGGACCGACTCCACCTACAGCCACAGCCACTCCTCCTCACAAAGGAGCCACCTGCTTTGAGTGTGATATCACCTTCAACAACATTAACAACTTCTATGCACATAAGAGGCTGTACTGCTCCAGTAGGCACCACGGAGAAGGTGCAACCTCAGCTTCAGGCCCTGGATCAACAAGGGATGCACCCCCAGCCACGGTGCCTTCTAGTGGGGCACATGGCTCGACCGCATCTCCTCAGGGTGGAGCAGCAAGTAGAGCAGCCTCTGCTTCTCCTTCTGACTCTGACCCTCCTGCAGGAAGTGGAGCACCAGAATCTAGAAAGGTGGTGGAAGTGAAGACAGAAACCCCTGTGGGGAGAGAGGGAATATCTTCCTCTTCTGAAGGGGAAGGTGGAGGCGGAAGTGTGGGTGGAGGAGGTAGAGTAAGCGAAGGCAGCCAAAGTCCTGCTAGTGGTTCTGCAGAAGATCTAGAAGACGATCCCAACAGAACCTTTTGCGAGGCCTGCAACATCCGCTTCAGTCGCCATGACAACTATACTGTTCACAAACGCTTCTATTGTGCGTCCCGCCATGACCCATCCAATCACCGATCCATACACATGACCAAGGCAACCACCACAGCAGCCTTCCTTCCCCAGCCCATCCGTACACGCAAGAGGAAGAAGATGTATGAGATTCACATGGCCAGAACTGAAGCCTTAGCTAACGCTGCTGCTGCTGCTGCCGCTGCTGCCACTGCTGCTGCTGCCTCTGCCCCGTCTCCCTCTGTTCTGGGCTTGGCAGTAAAGCAAGAAGTTTCTCCCAGTGCGGCAGGCAGCTCCAGCCCTGAAGGAGATGGCCCGATTGACCTGAGCAAGAGGCCACGTCTGAGAGAGGTTCCACGTCACAGCAGTAGCAGTATTCTCCCTGCCCTGCCTCTTAGTGACTACCACAAGTGTACCGCCTGCAGTATAAGCTTCAACAGCATTGAGAACTACCTGGCTCATAAAACGTACTATTGCCCTGCCACCACCCTCCAGCCCCACACCTTGGAGCAGCTTCATAGGCTCAAGAGATCGGCCTCTACCTCTCCCAAAAGCAGGCCTCAGCAGGAGCGCCCAGATCTTCTGCACCCTATGGAGGCTAAAGCTCTCCCTGCCGAGTGGGTTGCCCAGGCTCAAGGCACATCATCTAGTCCTCACCCCTCTGCCTTACCTGCCTCCAACACCACATCTCCGCCCCATACGACCACCACACTTGCAGCCACCCCAGGAGCTGGAGCCAAAGGTGTAGGCACCAGTTCCCCTCAGGTGATCTGCCCATACTGCCCTAACAGGCTCATCACCTGTGACCTGATGGAGCACTTCAAGACTACCCACGGCCTGGTTGTAACCATTCAGCCACCCCAGGAGGCCCTACCCCAGCCAGGCAGTGCAGTCAGCCGCAGCCCCAGCCTTAGTCCCGGGGATGGAGCTACTGCAACCACTTCCACCACCCCAACCAGCCAGCCCAGACTGGTCCCCCGCGTGCACAGAGACAGCATCAATGGGCAGGCAAGGAGTGGTACAACTTCTCCTGTCTCCCCAATGGTAAACGGCAGCCCTTCAGCTGGGGATGGATCACCTTTGGCCAGCTCACCTCTGCCTGTGTCTCCCCCAAGGGCTCCCTCTCTAACTTTGTCACCTGTGCCTGAGGTCCTGAGAGAGACGGTGGGGTCATCCCATCTTCCAAACAAGGCCACCCCAACCACGGCCTGCCATCCTGTCCCCACACCCCAGCCTGCCCCCATCACTGGCCCTAAAACCACAGTGATCTCCCCTGTCCAGAACGGTAACTCCCGCTTCTGTCGGCTGTGCAACATCAAGTTCAGCAGCCTCTCCACATTCATAGCTCATAAGAAATACTACTGCTCTTCCCACAGTGCAGAACACGTCAAGTGAGCCAAGCAATTCTCCTCTTCCTCCCCCCTACCCTTCCTTTATCTTTATTCTGAGTGGAGGCTTTCCTTCCCTAAGTTCCAAGAAGCTCAGATGTCCCTCCTCCTCTGCCAGTCCTCCTACATGGGTGCCAAAATGGCACTCAGCTGGCATGATCATGAATGACAATGAATGACTGTTACTCACCTGGCAGGGCCTGATGCCCACTGCTCCAGAGCAGAATTTGCAGGTGGTGTTACTAACATATATTAACTGATATTCCTCCTCCTATGGGTCAAAGTTTGTAGTACACTAAGAGCTGAGACGGATTCTACCTGCACACACTGGTGTGCCCTCGTCCCATTGATCACTCTGTCTTAGTACCCCAGTCCCCAATTCAACATTTACCACTCCCAGGCCTCACAGTATGTTGCATTATGGGACGTTAAAAAGATCTATGTAAACAACCACTTTTCTGTCTCTCTGTTGAACTGAGTTTATAATGGCAGTAATTAGATTCTGATTCAGGCATTTCGGACTGATGATGATTCAGTAATGATGATGCTGATTATGATGAATCTTCGGTCTTTTCCTGAGCTCTTAATGTTCCAGACCTAAACGGAGGAATCATTTATCTTGTGTGGAAAAGACTTGATCATTGTTAATGTTTTTATTTGTGCATAGTGTATGATGTCTGAAAAAAAGAATTCTATAATGCTTTTGGTTTCAACACTGGCTCTTTTTTTGCTTTCTAGAGAAGCAAAAGCGTTTTTAGCTGAAAAAGAAATATGCGGTATCACAATGTTACTAATTACTGAAGGATAATATTTCAAAATGGACAGTTTTTCTTTTCTTTCATACACACAATTTTTTATTTTCTCTTTAAAATGCAAGGGAGAAAAAAAAAGTGAAATATTTATCTTCTATCTTTTAGTCCTCACTGATTTCATGTCAACAGAAAACTACCTACCTGGTGTCTGAGAGTATTTGTATTTTTTATTTGTATATTTTTCATACTGTTGGAAGGAACTATTTGGATCTGGGTGTGTTGAAGTGTATTTTCTAAGTGTAGATATGTAATATCTTCTCACAGTAATCACTGGGATCACACTGAACTTTATTATCATGTTAGCATTTGGTGTTCTGTTTATGTAGTCTTTAATTGATGGTGAGGTCTGAAAACCAGCGCTGTGTTTATTTTTATCCCCTCTCGTACCTTGCTACACGATAAGATCAGAACAGCTTCCTCACTTACAGTTTTTCACATCAGAAGGTTGAAGAGAGCACTTCTGATAACGTTTATACTTTAGTGAGAATGATGTAGCCTCCCAGAATTTAGGTTATACAAAATTCAAATGTATCTTTAGTTAACCAGCCTCCACACCATGAAAAGTCTGACCTTTAAGAGTATACAGCTTTACATTCTTTGTTGCAAACGGCCGTTTCAGACGTATACTGAGGGATACATAAAACACATCGATGTCTAATACTCATATTAAAAGATGGTATTTTTCTTTTTAATGGCTGTGTTTCTGTCCGGCAGTGAAGGTATAGCAGGGAATGGTCCCGTCTTAGCGTAACACCTCACACAATAGAGTAAGCACATGTATAATAACCACTTATTGTGGACCTTTGTGTGTGAGAGAGAGGCTGCACTCTTCCTCTCTCACTTTATTGCTCTCACACTCATGCACACATACTCACACGCAGTTTACACCACACGTTCCCATGCTGCTGTTGCAGTTGCAATACATATTCATTTGAACTGTGAAATCCTTTTTTTCCCAATATTGACGCACACCTCCCCATATAAGACTCATCTTACATCATTTAAGGCCCAGACATCATTTTGAATTGAAGCTGCCTTTAGCCAATATTGCAACCAGATGCTGAATGGATTGAACTCTTGTCAGTACACAAGAGACCAATCCTCAATTTTTGATGAAATGCTAATATGTCTAACTGTAAAGCTACAAACACAGGACAGGTCTGGACCTTTGTTTATTCAGTAGTAGCATTAAAACACCTACACATACATACATATACCCCATTTGTCTCTTCCCAACTGGAAACCAAATGTAAAAGTGAAGGATTTTTTTTCTTATTTTTTTTTACATAATTCAAAATTACTGGTTGATTTTCTGCTCTGCTGTAGTGCAGCACTGTACCAGACACATCTTACTACTAAGTGTTTACAATTGTGCTGGTCTATCTCTCTCACTTCCTGAAGGTAGATGGAAGAAGCAGAAGAAAGTCACAGAGTCAACTAGTCACAAATTGAGGAACTGAGTGCTGGAAAATCATCCTTTAAACCTACCCCCATTTAATTGCACTGTGTTGTATAAAAATGTGCTGAATGTTTTAGTTTTAGGGACATTTTTTGTAATGTATTTATGTTATGCAGAACTTTTCCCCGTCCAAAATGCGTCATCGTTCTACCTTGAAGGACTTTCTGAAAGATTTTAACCCTTGCAGAAAACTCTTCTTTTTTTTTTCTTAGTGGCAAACATGTTTTCTTAATGATTCCTCTGATGTCCAGTCCGTAATGGAGAAAATCACAACGAATGTCAAAACTTTTATTTCCATATTTTTAATTTCATTTCAGTTCCACTACACTCTTGTCCAAACTATGCATGGGAAATAAAAAAAGTTCTGAGAGACACTGACGATGAGTGTGACTTCACTTCTTTGAATTGCATGTTTTTCGTGTTCATGCCCACGCACAACTCATGTCATGAACCTGAGTGGGAGTCCTTGACTTTCGGAGGTGTCTAATTCGCGTTAGTTTGTGTGTAGTCACTCATAAATCACTTCCTTTCATAAGAAAGTTTCAAGTGTGCTGTTTTTGTTTGATACTGGCTTGTGAAGAAAGGCTGAATGAATCATCAGCTTTCCTTTTAAAATAATGTGAATGAGTAATAGAACCTGTCACAAAAAATAGCTTTTTGTGCCCAATCAGCACTCCAAGGCTGCTCCAATCAATGGCAAAGTGCACCCACAAAAACACTGCTACCTTTAGCTTGCATGCAGACAAAATGAATTGATTGATGTTTCCAACTGTCTTTCCTGGAACTGTGTTTAGACCTTCAATTATGGGATATGCATTAATGTATCCCTGTTGTGTTCTTGAAGCAGTTTCAGCTAATATTCAACATGTTAGAAGTGTCATGTTAGCATCAATGATACACAATATCCATTTTGGTACATTATATGCTATAATAACCATAAACAAATTAAACCACTTGTGAGAATGTGGGCAAATCTTCATTCATTTTACACAACGGAAGATTTCCTGGAATGCTTTAAAGCATTGAAGGATGAGGCACAATGGGACATTGTTATCTACTAGTATTATACTTTAACACAACTTGAAGACTTGAAGTACTTTAATAAATTGCTTTTGAAAACTTTTGATATACCAATGAACTAATAACCTGACATAAATCATTAGCTAGCTAATTAGCTATAAGATTTAACTAGCTAGCTAACACTTAATTTAAGATGAGACTTTATTGATCCCACACTGGGAAAATGTGCTTGTTAGCATATAGATTAGCTGACTAGCAAGCAAATGATTGATGTAGATTAACTAGCTAGTTAGCTAGCATTTTCTTAACATTAGCTAATTTAAGATGTGACTTTATATATGTCGCTTTTATCTTTTAACCATCTTCAAAATGAGGTTGTCTTTTCAACATAGATTAGCCTAGCACATAGCATATCTAAGTACAGGAAAGGAGGAAGTTGACAGAGGTTCTGACTCAACCTCAACTGTTATTGTAGTGAAGAGCAAAAAGGGGCGGGACTTAGAAAGGATCAGTTAGTTGGACTAATATACAGTAGGCATTGTTTATTTATCTGAAACAGCGTACATTAATCAATAGCAACATTATGAATGTAAATGTGCAGGGTTAACTAAAAACAAGTTTCCTTCATTTCACTTGAGGAGAGGACTTAAAGGGGAACTTCGGCAGATTTGTACCCTAGTCTTGATCACTAGAGGTCACCGAGTACTGTCGATAGGACAAAGAACAACCAGAATTGGTTCTAGCAAACTGGAGATCCTGCAGCTAATGGCCAGAGCTCCCAGTTAGTTATAATACACTTTTTGGGGGCATAAACTAAAGAGTGCCTTTTGCTCCTCTTAACAGACACAAAATGCAGTTAAAATGTCTGTGCAACATGATCAGGGCCCTTACAACTCAAACCGTACAAAACAGTACTGTCGCCTACCTGTTTTTCCACCGCTCGCTTCACCGAAAGCCCAGAATAATCGATCACGGAGATAATGCCAAGTTTATTTCCCCCTCAAAAATGTCCATGTCTTCACACACTACTCTCCGATTTGCACACTTCCTGCAACAATCTCTTCTTCTGCGTTTCCCTGCAACAAGTGAAATCCCACAGGACTTCAGTGCGGGACTGCTCTGGCGCTGAAGTGCCTTGTGCCTTTCCAAATGGTGGCAACAGAATGAGAAGGTACAAGTGCCTACACTTTCATCGTCTACTTTAGTTTATGCCCCCAAGAAGTGTATTATAACTAACTGGGAGCTCTGGCCATTAGCTGCAGGATCTCCAGTTTGCTAGAACCAATTCTGGTCTTTCTTTTTCCTATCAACAGTACTCGGTGACCTCAAGTGATCAAGACTAGGGTAAAAATCTGTTGAAGATCCCCTTTGAGGCTGCAAAAAGGGAGTATAATCTGGCTGACAATAACCCGAGATAAGTGTGGCAAGGTTTACAGCATCTAACAAACTACAAGGGCAACTTGTCCAGAGCGGGAAATGCCGATGCTTCGCTGGTGGAAGAGCTAAACCACTTTTCACCAACTCTGAGTCAGTGAGGCCCCACTCCGCTACTCCAAACCTGGAGAGTGGCCCCATAGCTCCTCAGCCTTCAAACACCCACCTGCTTGAACTACAGGAAGATCAGGTGAAAAGGGTTCTGAGAGCTGTGAATCCACACAAAGCAGCAGACCCAGACGGAGTACTGGGCAAAGTACTGAAGGCCTGCACTGACCAGCTGTCAGGGGTCCTAACATGGATCTTTAACATCTCCCTGAAACCTATAAGGCAAACAGGTCAACAGCAGATGCCATAGCCACCGTCCTCCACACTGCTGCGAGCCACACAGAGGGGTTGGGGAACTACGTATGTCAGGATGCTGTTTGTTGATTTTAGTTTGGCATTCAACAGCATATTGCCGAACATCCTCTTCCAGAAGCTGACTGACCTGAGATTCCCACCCCTCACCTGTGACTGGATAAACAGCTTCCTGACGGACCGGCCATGGTCAGTGAGGTTTGGGACCCTAACATCCACCACTCAGACACTGAGCACAGGTTCGCCTCATGGCTGTGTGTTAAGCCCTTTCCTGTATGCCCTATACAAATACGACTGTGCCCCTCTCCACCACTCTAACATCATCGTCAAATTTGCGGATGACACAACAGTGGTGGGCCTAGTCTCTGGCGGTGATGAGACAGCATACAGGGAGGCTTACAGCCTGGTTGCTCAGGGAATAACCTCCTGCTGAATGCCAGCAAAACCAAGGAGATGGTGATGGACTGGAGGAGGAAGAGAGCTGACCCTGCACCACTACAGATAGAGGGCGACTGCATGGAGAGAGTCTCCTCTTTTAAGTTTCTTGGGGTGCATGTGGCTGACAACTTAAAGTGGTCCACCAACACATCAGCGGTAGTCGGAAAGGCCCAGCAGAGGCTACACTTCCTAAGACTGCTGAGGAAATGTGACCTGGATGTGCACCTGCTGTGTTCCTTCTACCGTTCCACCATAGAGAGTGTGTTGACATACTGCATCACTAAATGGTACCCAGGTTGCACGGCCAAGGACAGGAAAGCCCTGCAAGGCGTCATTAAATCAGCGCAGCAAATTATTGGCTGCCCTCTGACCTCCTTGGAAGACATTACAAATACGCAAGGGCTCAACAGGGCCAAGAAGATCCTGTCTGACCCATCCCACCCAGGCCATGGCCTCTTCAATCTCCTGCCCTCTAGGAAGCGATACAGGGTATTGGGAAGCAGGACAAACCGGCTTAGAAGCACCTTCTATCCATGGGCAATCAGACTTTTGAACACTAACCCCCCTACTAAGCACTTTGGACAATCATCAGTGTGGGTCAATATGTGCAATAGACTGTGTGGGTGGGTGGGTTTGAAGTGTGTGTGTGTGTGTGTGTGTGTGTGTGTGTGTGTGTGTGTGTGTGTGTGTGTGTGTGTGAGATTCTACTCAGAAGTGTGCGTGTGTGTGTGTGTGTGTGTGTGTGTGGTGTGTGTGTGTGTGTGTGTGGGTGGGTGGGTTTGTGGGTGAGTGTGTGCATGGATGTGAATTACATATGTAGGCATGCGTGATTATTTATTTATTTATTTTTAAATCTTTTTTAAATAGGATAGATTGCTCAACCAGTTTTGTTGTAACATCTGTGACAATGACAATAAAGGAATTCTGATTCTGATTCTGATTTTAACTCGACTATGGACCCTATTTTAATGCACACATGATGATGATTGATGATACTCGTAAAAAGTACATCAGCTGAATACTGCCGTAGCCCTACGTTTCTGGAGCTTTCAACCACATGTCCTGGCCTTCATTCAGCACCATTTGTTCTGAGGAAGATCCTGGGCATCATGACAGTCATCGTTAGGCGCCGCCCATTAAATTAAGGACATTTAAATAAATCCAGTTAGGAGGCACATACAATATGACAGGAAACATAGCAGAGATTTAGTGGATCAAATTTGGTCAACGCAAGAAAAATCCTTCAGCATTTAAAAATATGCATCAGCATCATTCCTCAGCAGTTAGCAACCCTATTTGTTAATAAAGACACTGATCAAACAAGTTCCTGACAAGAAACACAGCTTATATCTGGAAAGAAATACAAAAAACACAGGCCTACAGTAAAACTTCAATTAGTAACCAGGCTTTTATTAGCTTCAATCACTGAACTCCACCTGCTTTTATTTGGAAGAAACCTCAGTAGCGTAAAGGAGACTAATTGGGACTCTGCTTTTAATTTAAGTTTTACGATAAATTACCCATCTCCTCGTCGACCTTAGCAACAATCAAATCCATACCCTGCTACAACCAGATTCGGCCTTCAAAAACTGGGCAAGATGCGGTCTCCTCTACAGCATCTATACATATACATCAACTAATAGACTCAAATAACATTAAAGGTCCAGTGTGTAGGATTTAGTGGCATCTAGCAGTGAAGTTGCAGATTGCTCCACCCTCCTCTTCCAAGCCCAAAGGAGAAACCTCTAATATCTAGAGCCAGTGTTTGGTTTGTCCTTTCTGGGCTACTGTTGAAACATACCTGTCTAACATGGCCGACTCGATAAGAACAGCTCATTCTAAGGTTTGTTACCTTAGAATGACACAATGATGATATGAATAATATATTATATTTCTGACAATAGCTCCTCCTAAATGTTTCTCATGTCAGAGAGGACCGTCTTTCAGGTAAGCGGTCAATATCAGCCAAATATCTAACCCTGGATCAAAGCGCACTTGAGACTGAATGTGTGCGGCTGTACTACCTGCTGAGGAGACCGACAGAGCGTATTCTGCTCTCAGAAGTCCCCTGTTTTAATGGTGCTCTGTTAGCAGCATGACAACCTGCTTTGCTCGTGTCTACAAAG